TGCCTTCGGATTCAATGTAGACCGGTGTATGCGTATATATGTATGAGTGTATCTGTGCGTGTAGGTATTTGTATGTATTCTTGTATATGGGTCTATATGTTTCTCTATGTGTGTATTTATTGGTTAATTAAATGATGTCATCTTTAGATAATTATTTTTCAGGTCGAGTAAAGATAAAAATGGAATATATTGGCAATAAATTGCGAAGGTATACAACATTTAGTAAAAGAAAAACTGGAATTATGAAAAAAGTTCGTATTCTATTGCTGGTTTTTCTGTTCTTTATCAAAATAAAAAAAATCATGTTTCTCTAGTATAAATTTATCTTTTCTCTGATGAGAATTATTCGCAAATTAATTTGTAGTTTTCAAATTTAGCTTTTATATTAAACTGACAGCATTTCTCTGTTCAGGCTTATGAATTATCAACACTAACAGGAACTCAGGTGATGTTGCTGGTAGCATCCGAAACAGGTCACGTCTATACATTTGCCACAAAAAAATTACGACCGATGATCTCTTCTGAAGCTGGAAAAACATTAATTAGAAATTGTCTAAACACTCCCGACATTGGTTTGTGTTCATTTCAGTTTTTTCTGACTATGTTACTTTCCGTTCTAATGTCTTCATTTTACTATTAGTTTTGAAACAAACGGTAATTTTAAACAGTATTTCCTTTCCCTAAATTCTTTGAAATTTAGCGCAGGTCAAAATAATTCTGAAATTTTAGTCCTGACATCATTCTGCTTCCCAAGCTATGTCGATAACTAGACTAGCCCAGCAAGACTTGTTATTCCGTTGCATCTGAATCAGTTTGCAAAGCGAATGATGATGATTTATGCGCTTGCAATTATTCTCATACATATTGGCTTTGCAATAGTCATTCTGTTCTAGATGATGCTGTGGATCCAGTTGGAGCACGACAAGAATTTACATTTGAACCACAACCAAATATTTCAAGAAAGCGAAAATTAAATGAGGTTTGTTCACATGTAATTTGAATTGAAATTGCGTCTAATAAATCATATGACGAACATATACCATCAGTTCCTGCGCATTTGTCTATTATTTGCAAGAACTCACAACTATTGACCTCATCAATTCAGAAAAAACCACCACTTTACTCTTTCGAGCATAATTATCCATGCTTTTTTCCTTTTCTTTTTAAAAGTTTAGCAGCCATATAAGTAAACTAGATTGTCCTGGTAAAAAAGAGAAATAAATAAAATCTCGATCTCCGACCTTTGACTTCCATGGAACAAAGCTCACCACCACAGTTTCATCAGCAGCGGTATAATGTGATTGCTAAGTTAAGGTTAGATTGAAACAAACAAGCAGATGACTCTTTAGTCTCTTTTTTCGACTATCTATGAGTGATATGATATGTGTTGTGAGAGCCTCGTCCTTCCCAACTAACAGCGCCATATGAATTCTTAAAATTCGTGAAAAAACTGCAAATGCGATGTCATTTCAAAATTCGTGACACGGACACCAATTGCCCTTGGAAGTACGGTAAAAAGGAATTATGTTGAAGATGTGAAATTGTTGCTGTCATCATTAAATGGGCAAGTGGTGTATGTATGTATGTGTGTGTATTTATATGTTTGTGTGTGTGTATGTGTGTGTGTGTGTGTGTGCATGTGCATGTGCATGTATGTGCGCGATTGTCTGCATTCTATATTATGTCACAACACCGGCTGGCGTTATTATTTCACTGACAACCAACCAGTAGCAAATCAGGATGTCAAATTTCCAGGCGGACACCACCGTATGCGCTGCACCATATCTCAGTGCGCCATCGTCCCACGTCCTTTCATGCATTCCATTCTCGCCTGCAATTCTCCTCCCCTTTGCCTTGCATTCTGAATTCTTCGACAAATACGGTAGTCGTATTAGGTGATACCTAGTCCATCTCTATAAGTTACTTGTTTGCTGTCCAATCAGACTTTCTGATAGTGTAATCAAAAGTGCTAATAAAGCTTCATTTAGTTGTTGGAATTTAAAACCTGAATTTAGCATTAAATTTTCTAACGATCGCTTTATAAGTATTATTTGGAAAGAAGAAAAAGGAGAAAAGAGAAGATATCAATGAAATAGCATTAGCTTCTTTTGTATTTACTGCTGCAATCAGCCATAGATATGCTTCAGCAAACATTTCTAAAAACTACGAACTGTGCTACATTTATTCTCATTTTGAAATTAAATAATTAAACTTCGAAAAGTTTCTAATTGAGTCTTTCAAACTTTCTCAACATGACAACAAGGAAAAATATTTTCCTCACGTTGACGGATCCCAGAAAATGGGAGCAAAAGGGAAGGAAGCACCAACTGCCTGTTTGCCGGGATCTGTTCCTATCAAGCACTTGTATATCCCTCTTCCATTACATCCATCATTCAAAACATACACATATCCTTTCAACCAGTATCACACCGCCAGCAATACTATTTAAGAATCTCTACTAACTAACTAACTAATTCACAAATTGTACACATACACACACAACACACACACACACATACACACGTATACATACATACACGCACATACACACACACACACACACACACTTATATATAGAGATAGATACTTTTATACGGGAAGCTTGAGATGGGAAGGGGAAAAGGCCGGGAGCGTCATCTTCTTGAGCCATCAAAGCCACCTACGCTTTCATCATCCTGAAAGCAAGTCTTTCTTCCCATTCTCATTAAATTCAAAGAATATACCCAACAGAGCAGGGATGAAGGAAATTTCGATGGCATCCCTGTCAAGCAAATATGTGCAATAGCAATAATGTAAGCAAGCAAGCAAGCAAGCAAGTAAGTATCATCAGTTTCTCAACCACTATTCATAGCATCATCACCTTGAAAACAACAATACTGCTCCCACTAATGTGTAAAGAGAAAGGATATGCTCCTCAGATGGTCGAATGAATGAATGAATGAATGAATGAATGAATGGATGGATGGATGGATTATGCATGTGAAGGCATGTGTCTGTCTCTGTTTTGTGTGATAAAAGTGATAAATAAGAGGAAATAACTTTACATCGAATCACTGATCACTGATCGCCTATATTTGTTACATCAATTTGCCGTTATTATAAAAAGCACAACCAAACAGCTGCAACATATAAATGATAAGAGATCGAAAAAAATGAAGAAACATCAGAAGTTCAGATATTGGGTTGATTGACATATTTAATAAGTTACGTGTTTGGAATACACGATGGACAAATTAAATGAGCACGTTGAGATACAGATGGGACACGTGACAGATTTGAAAGGAGGAGTTAGAAGTATGGAAATGGTGTAAATATGGACTGTCATAAGTAGTCAAATATTGAAGACAAATAAAATCAGGAATGTGTTATCATCGCGTTTCTGATTTCATGCTCATCCCAGTGAATATGCATTATGGAAACCATAGCACATACCAAGTTAAATTCATCAGATAAACCTGCATAAACCGAAATTTAAGCTTTAATTTTCCGCTTTCAAACTGCTTATACCAGGAAGTAATGACGAAGACATATGGTTTTACAAAATATCTTGTAAACACTCAAAACTCACTTTTTTTTCAAAATTAATAAAACTTGAGTTACTTTAGTAGTATTATTGAACGAAAGAGATGTTTTCTTGATGAGGTTTCGAAAAATTTTCTGAAGAAAATCATTTCGTTGAAGTTCTCTTATTACTGTTTACTGAAGATGATTACTTTTTACCATTCTTCTAAAAAGTGGTACTAAATATAGGTACTTTTCTTTCTATCATTGATGATTAAGAAGCAAATCATACTCTCTTTGCCACTTTCTATTTGCATAACTATTTTGTCTTCAAATAGATCAGAATTTAGGCAGAAGTTTATTTTGACAATCTAGAAAATGGTAATAAACATTCGAATATATCAATGCTTATGTCGGGTGATGTTTTATTGGATAGTTAATACTATCAACTTTTATGTGGCTTATTAAGTTTTTCAATTGTCGTTGAAATTTTAGCATGAAATTCGAGAAATTTCTGTACAAATTTAAAAGCATTATTTTTGATCGACCCGTGCTGTTATGTAAGAATTATGTATCGGTAATTTGAAAGATAAAATTTTAATGCCAATTAAACTCTCTGAATGTTCATCGATATTCAATAAATAATAATAAATAATTTTTGTGTTACAGAAATTTGTGCTATGAAAAATATAAGTTATGTATTTCATAATAATGGTAGATTAGAGACTATTTAGGTATGATTTAATCTGAGTAGTTTTATTTCACAAGAATATTAACAAAAAATTGGCATAATTAATAACATTTTCAAATGCTCCTCAAAGCAAATTGCTTTTCCACTCTGTATACAAATTTGGAGCTTTAACGCCTGTTGAAAACTGGTCTTGGTAATGGCAATGCGATAGCAGTAACTCTTTCTGTGTGGTTTTATGCAACTGAAGATGGTAAATTTCACCAAACTAACTCCCTTTTCATCGTCCTCATCAGCTACTGTCATCAATATTACTACTACCACAATATTACATCATTCTTATATTTGTCTTTGTACAATCCTAAAAGGGACCAGCTTTGAATCACGATGAAATCAATGAACAAGCTAATAATTTAAACCAATTGTTTTTCGTTAGCTTACTAAAAAACTTTCACAATAGCAAATTATTCATATTAATTAGGGGAAATTTTTGGTTTGATGCAAAATTTTAAATAAAGATTTACTTGTTCAATTCCTAATGTTTAAAAAAAAATCAGTCCTCTGTTGTGGTGAACGGCATTTTAATGCCGATCATTAACTTCGGTAAAACAAAGCATTTGAATGTCGAAAGTCACCTTCCGCAAAAAAAAACTCCATGAGCTGATGAACAGTTTCTGAAAATTAGTCTAAATTCGCCTGAATTGATTTGCTTCTAAAATGCATATTTCATCCCAACTTATCTTTTAATTAATATCATTTTTCATATGGTAGTAAAAAATGGTTTTGTTTATAGTGTCCTGAATTACCAACAATGGTACATCCTACAATGATAGCCACCTCACCGACTTGCAATCCAGAAGAAGCAGAAAATTCTGATAATGGTGAATCGGAAAGCGTCGACAGTCACGACGCTGTGATAGAGGAAAGCGAAACTGATAAAGAAAAAGGTCATAAAATTTCAATAGAGAAATAATTAGTAATTACTTGGAATACGACTCTAGGACTATCACCCTTAGGACCATCCCCTCAACTTCACATCCTTACCATTGTAGATTCCAAAAATCCTACCCCTTTAGTTTCTGAGAGTTATGAATATAATAGAGTTATGAATATAATAAACCTCGAAATAGGTGAAGGCTCAATTTATGACGGGTTTTCAAATTTTCAAGTTTGTCCTTCATTTATATGAAACCATAATTAATTGCTTCTGATGTGGTATAAGGAGTGCAGCAGTAAGTAACTCGATGACCCGTTATGGTGGTTCATTAAAGTAACAGTTGTCATCCTGTTTTATTTTATCTTCTTTCTCTTTCTCTTCTTCTTCTTTCAAAAGTTCATCATAGAGGTCAGCGACAGTTGTTCCCCTGGATGATTTAGCTAATGGCACATATAAATGGGATTTTAACGGCTGTAATGCTGCGCACGATATATACGGAAAGTAAGTCTTCAAATAGAATGAAGGAAGGGGGATGACGAGAAAGAAGTTTACGAATTATACCATAGACAGGAGAGAAGGAAACTGAAATTAATAGGCGCGGTAGTAGCCACTGTTGTAACATACCTCTTTCGACTCACTTCCGTTCATTTTCTGATATACATGTATATCCATATATTTGATGAAAAGGGGACTGAGAAGGGAAATGATCTTTAAATGAGCCCACCAAGACATAAGCATACATAGACCAAATCTGGACAGCTGCTGTCAATTTGTGGACGCTGTAGGTCATCAAAACTGACGGAGAGATGGATAGACAAATTAAATAGGAGAATGGATAAACTGGATAAAGTGATCGGCGGTGCATCGCTCATCACAAATGCGATTTTTTGTCATACAACAGCAGCCAAAACGAGGGGCGGGAAACCTTATCGGTTGCAGTTTAGTGCCATCGATAAAAACAGATGGAACTGTTAATTTAAATTAAATTACATATAAAACGAAAAACATTAGTAAAAAACTAACAGTAAGCAGAAGTCAATTTCTTCGAATGAAAGTTTCAAGTCGTAATTTGGCCTGAAGTTCCAAAAAGCTTTTTTTTTTCTTAAGACCAATTAATTACTTTATTAAATATTACTGCTAATGACAATCATTTTGCAGAAAAAGCGACCTCGTTGTCATTACAACAGACATTGAAGGAAGCGCTTCGTGTAGCGGCTGCTCAACGACAGTTGCAAAGAAGCAAAGCAAAAAGTAGCAACAGTAGCGATATTAGAAGCGTCGTCAATAATAGTAATAATAATAATAATAACAACAACAATTGTAGTAGTGCTCATAATGGCACTATCGGTAACACTGCTACCAGCACCAATGTTCAACCTACCGCAACATTCCCGCTTCTTGCACCGTTTCTGTTACCAGGTTCGCCGATATGTTTAATTACTTCAGTGATCATCAGCAGAACTTCATAACTTATCCTTTTTTTTATACAACTGTTGATAGTACGGGTAAGATGATACTTTTTTGGATATTCCTTTTGGGTTTAACTCCTATAGTGATATGAAAAAATGATGAAAGAAAAAATAAAGTTGGTCGGAATCAAATTTTTTGATTAACTCAATATTTTATGATCCCAACCTGCTAAATGATTTTTATAGGCTTAAACTCGGCTACAACGGCGGGGACCAGCAACGCCATCATGTATCAGATACCTCAAGGCGTGGTTTATACAAATGACGAAGGTTAAGGACAATTTATATTTAATAAAGTCAAAAGTGAATTACTGTTTTGTGATAGATCCAGAAGTTTCAGAAAGTGAATCGTTTAATCTTACCTAAGTGGTTGAATTTGCAAAATTGCTTTAATTTTAGGAGCTGATGGTAATTCCTTATTCGCAAATGCCAATGTCAGCAGCAGTAACAATTCCTCCGAGAATCAACAAACTAGTCCACAATTTATGTTTCCTATTAATTCGCTCACTTTACAACAGGTATGACTTACTTTGATTTCATATACATATACATATATATACATATATATATATATATATAATTACCTTTTTGCAGAGTCTCTTGCAAATCATGTCGACAGCCGCGTTAAGTGCAGCTCAATTGGAAAACAGCGATCGTTCCAGCTGACCCATCTAAACAGGCAGTTTACCAAAAAACCGAAAATTGAGAGAAGAAAAACTAATTTTGTTGGAACTCTTGAAACAATGCATGTCATTCGATAGGATAGCTCTAAAATACAAATGTCTATTTCGTTTTTTATATATGAAGGAAAGTAAAGGGAAAAAATGAAATCAGATTAGGGAATTTAATTGGAGATCAGAAATCAATAGACTTACAAAAGAAAAGGGAGTTAAATAATCTGAAAGAATATATCATTGAGATGGCAACGACATAACCTGGAAATGAGCAATTCTCTATTTTCTTGCAATAGAACCCATATTTGGAATCCTTAAAGCTACATCTAGAATCCATATTTCATCACTTGTACACCTTTTACTACTTTACTTCGAGTTCTTTCAAACAAGTCGTGATTTGTATCCAATGTATTATGATTTTGATTCTAATCTTTTTTTTTTGCAAAGTCGTCCATGGTAGTTTCCGGTTTCTTCATTTGTTCGTGTGCGCGTGTCATAAATATAGTAAGTGTCAAGGTCTTCGAGTTCTGCGTATAATGCTACTGAATATTTAACATTAAAAATTCCTTATTTTTTTTTCCGAAAGAAAATATAAAACGGTTAGTATCCAAATTTTTATAAAAACTGAAGTTAATGAAATCCCTATAGAAATGTAATTTATTGTATAAATTACAAAACAGTTTTCGAATAGGTACTGTTACTTTACTTCCTCATTAGAATGAATCTGGAGAGGTGAAACTTCTCGGATTTTTTTAGCAGAGCTCGATGGCAAGCACAACGGTTAGTTATTTTCTGTATTTCGCCTTCTTTTGGTTGGTTGTTTTTGTGTAATTATTTTTGTGCCTTTGTTAACAAAACATTTTGTTGTGCACGATGTGTAGAACATCTTGTAATATACTAGTCGATAAGTTTTTATACATGTATGCATCTACCAATACCAAGGTAAAATGCAATATTTTTAGAAAGAATAATTTATAAAAATGGGAAAATTTTGAAATTAAAAAGTGTACAATGTTTCCTTAACTTTAAAAAGAATGAGGTCTGCGCACTGCATGCCCATCATGAAACAATGGTCCTGATTCGATATTTCATACTTCCAACCACCGAATCGTCCACGAGAATAAATATTGTGCGCCTGAAGATCAATAAAAAAACAACTTTCTCTGGATTCACGAACTTCGGAATAAGAATGTTATTTTTACGCAATGGAAAAATACTGAGAAAAGGACTTGCTTGAAACGCTTCATGACAGCGTTGTAACTCTTCGTCTCTGTTAACAGTTGGAATAGGGTATCCATACGGCAAAATATACAGCCATTTGTCAACAATCTCATTGTTATCGACTATTATACCTTTAAGCTTCAAACCTACAATGATTAACTACATTCACCAAGTAACAAAAACCAAAAAAACTATCTACCTAACAAACAGGCACACAATCTATGGATGATTACGGAAAATGTGCCCTAAAGTTAAAAAAGAAATCAAAAATAATCGACTTATATGATTTAATGAAGAAATAATAAGTATGGTCAAACCTTCAATTACTTTAACTATAACTTCGTCCTCGAGGAAATCTGCATCAGCTTCCAATCCAATTTCACATAGAACTGACCAGAACTGATTGCAATCTGGTGTCAAATTATCGCTGAAGTTGGACAAGAAGGTACACCTGGAATAAGGAACATGACTGCTGCGAATATTTAATAAATTTATAGAAATTTAGTAGAACGTAAAGTGGATTGAATCCACAACAAACCTATAAAAAATAGTATCAGGTAATGGAAAATACGCCCACGTCACAAGTTGAGTCCATTCGCATTGTGGATGCTTCAAACCAAGGCCAACAAGGATTACCTAAAAACGGACAAAACAGACGGATATAAAATTCACAAAAGCAACTATGCATTGCTATTTTATTATAGTCATAATATTCCAACACAAAGGACCTTGGAATATTTTAAGTTAACATCGCTAATTACTGTGGAGATCGTCGATAATTCAGGAATCGGTAAGGTAGACAGCACAGCATTATAATCATATGAATGTGTTCCACTATTTAAATCTTCGGTAATTACCTGTAAGACTAAAGACGATGATATCCATTGATATGATAACTACATATAATTATTATAATGAGCTAAATTATACGGAATTTACGTAAGTTTCAGGAAAAGGAAAAATAAAACTAGAAAAAAGAAAAATACCTTTTTTGCTCTAATATCGATCCCTCGCACTTTTTCTTTAAAATGAAAAATGGATTCCGGATATCGTCGAGCAATTTTTTCCCAAATTTTGCCCACACCTTTGTAATCTCTTGGATATCTGAGAAAAAGTACAAATTCATTGTAGAAATCAAAAAATCAAAGTGTTATGAAATTGTATAATGGTATCAAAATTGAGACCTAAACAACTTACCTGAAACATGTCATAGATGAACTAAGATCATCGTCAAGTTCTTGCAGGCTTCGTCCACAACGTAATTCAATATTAGATAAATCAATAGTTGGTACTCGACTCCTTGCCCAAAATGCGTTCATTTCTTCCAGCTCCACTGTCCATATCGAAACAAACACAGTGATCTACTTTCTTTTTCAATTACGAAATTAACAGTGTATGTTTATAACTCTTTTTTGTGATTGGAGATAAAACAACTCAAAGCTCAAAGTTTGTTAAATTTCTAGCAGTATGAAGCCATTCATTGAAACTCAAATTCACCTTACGATTGTATGGTCTAATAAAAATATCCAGTAATGTACTCCCAAATATATTTGCACTGTATTCTGCAAAATTCGAACAGCTCATGGGTAAGCCTTGCAGATCTTTCAATTCACTGATGCATTTTTGCCTAATAATGGGTGGGAAATAAGGAATAGAGTGTTGAACAGGATAGGGTACATAGTTGCTGTATGGATTATCGCTTTTGAAAAGATGAGCTAAATCGGCCTGCAAATAAGTAAACAATATTTCAGTTCGATAATTTGGAAAACTTTTTGTGGAACTTTTGGATTTCTCGAGATTTCAAATTTCCAACAATTTTTATTAATGCTAGTTTACCTTGACAGAACGCCTAACTTTATTCCATTTATTCACAGCAGAATTGATAACTTCCTCGAATTCGTGATACTTTGATACACCCAAAACATGTACACCTAAATCCCACGTAAATCCTTTCTCATCGGTTACTGATCTTGCCAAACCACCAACTTCATCTTCTTTTTCCAAAACAACGACCTCAAAAGACAAACAATAAATAAAGCATTTGCATGTGAATTACGTGAAACAATATCAAACGGAACAGTGCATGATCATCCTAACATTATTAAGTGCACTGTTATTTGACGTTAACAAAGTCGCATATTACGATCTTCAGAAGTCTCTTGAAGCATACTTAAGACACAGGTAAAAAACAAGTGGAACAAACAGGTAAAGTGTACAACCTGTATATCCTCTTCCGATATGGTTCCTTCTGTTATCAATGAATAAATACGATGCAGCATACCGATAGCAGTAGGTCCAGCACCAATGATTACTAATCGGAAACCTTTATCGACTTTTAAGCTGGACATCGACCAAAACCTGAGGTTAATGAAACCTGTTTCGCTGGATATTATTAGGATATTGAAACTACTATCAGGATATTGAAACCGCCTGAACGTCAAAAACAATTCTTTAGCGTTTTGAAAACAAGATAAGTCAAATATCGCTTAGTATCAAAATAATTAACAGTTAAGAGATGACAATAATTGATGATGAATTTTAACAAGTGCTTTGATCCGCTGCGTGGCCTCACATATACCAGTCATCACACCATGAAGAATGACCTCCTGATAGCAAAACTTATTCTATGCCTTCATGGTATTTAAATTTAAATGAGCATATTTCAGAACTCAAAATGAGTGACGGATTAGTGCTGGAATTCACATTCAGATAATTATTAAACAGCCCGGACGTAATTATTACTTGTCGTTAGCAATAACTTCCCACACAAATTCAACACAGTTCAAAAGTTCGATGAACACGTAAGTTTTTCGCAACTTGCATTTCAGCCTGCTTTCTACAGCTGTCAAGAGTGGGAACTTACAGTTTACGTTCCCCTAATATGTAAAGACGACTGATGTGTTAGGTTTATCATCATCGTCATTATGGTAGAGTACTTCACTTGACAAAACGTTATCAGCAAGTTCACTTTAAATTCATCCAAAAGTGAAAGTTTTATTGACAGATCGGCTGTGACGTTCTGTGAAATAGTTGTGAGGAAGGTGACAAAGAGACATGCAAACAAAGAAACCGGTATCAAATAATTAACGGATGCAGAAATCCGATTTGATTGATGAACAGGGTCGGGAAGTGGGTTTCATGAAAATTAAATATTTGTAAAAATAAGGCCATTCTCTTTGACTGCAACTGTCGCTGATCATCAGTCATTATACCAACATCATCATTATTACCATCACCATCATAAGTATTATTATTATCATCATCATTATTATTGTTAGCATTATTAACAGATGCAGAAGTCCGATTGATTAATGAGATCGGGAAATGATTTCATGAAAATTAAATCATTATTATTATTTTATTATTATTATTATTACTATTATTACTATTATTATTGTTATTATTATTATCATTATTATTATTATTATTATTATTATTATTATTAT